GAGGACTCAAGTTTTTTTGTAGCAGCAATGAGATAGCTGTATCCAGCAGCTTCAACTTCAAAAACCCCAACTTCAGCAACTGAGAGCAAAACTAAAACCCAAGGTCTGTGTGAGCCTGACTCTACTCACTCATGTTTCTTTTGTCTAATTTAAAGAATAACCCAAAGCTATGTACTCTGCTTTTCAGGGAGACGTTGACACCAGGTTTACATCACCCCTCTTCAAGAGAAACAGAAAAGGACAAATCCCTCTTAAAGACACATATTGCCACACTTTACATCAGGAAGGTGTTCCACTGAGAACAACCCTCTGCCACTGGCATCAATTCCCTGACGCCCTATCTCCCTGCACCCTGCAATGGCACATCACCCACAATCTTGGGTCCATGGTGACCTCTGGTGGATGTAGTAGCAGCAGCAGTTTTACCATTCCAATGGTAATTGCTACATTACTGTCAATACTTCAGTAGCTGTAAACCACCTGGAGTAGTGAAAAGTGCTATATTAATTAAAACATAAGAAATAGGAACTGGAGTCACCATTCAGCTCTTCAAGCCAGTTCCATCAATCAAGAAGATCATGGCTGATCTACTCACATCTTAATCCCTTAGAATCTAAAAATCGCTATCTTGAGCATTTTTAGCAACTGAGCATTTCTGAGGTGGAGAATTCCAAAGACCCACAGCCCTTTAAATGAAGAAACATGTGCTCATCTCAGTCCTGGTCACCCATTCAGAACAGAGATGAAGAGGAATTTCTTTTCTTGGGGGTAGTCAAACTCTAGAATTCTTTACTGCAGAAGGCAATCAACGCTGGGTCGTTGAGTATAATGACACAGGCTGAGACAGACGGAGTTTTAATTAGTAAGAGATTCAAGGATTATGGGGAAAAGGCAGAAATGTTGAGTTATGAATTATCAGATCAGCCTTGATCTCATTGAATGGGAGAGCAGACTCCATGGGCTGAATGGCCTACTTACACTTAGATGTCTTATGGTCCTATTAAACCCCTTATTCAGAGACTGTGACACCTAGTTCTGTATTTCTCGACCAGAGGAACTGTATTCGTGGTACCGTCCTGCCAGTCCCCTTGAAAATTTTACATTATTGATTGGCATCTGCTTTCAATTTTCTAACATTTAGAAAATGTAGGCTTAGTCTACTTAATCTCTACTGGCAAAACCTCCCAGAGCATCTCCTAGGGAGCCTCAGGAACAATTGCTGAGGGTGAGGGAGAGATGGCTAAATGGTCTGGAACGGGAAATAAAATCAAGGGAGCAAAATGTCATTAGTGTTTGAAATTCTCTTCAAGCACTGGCGGTTGGTTCATTGAATATATTGAAGGCCAAGTCAGACAGATTTTTGATCAACGAGGGAGTGCAGGGTTATGGGGAAGTGAAAATGGAGTTGAGTCCACAATCAGATGGGCAATGAAATGATTGAAAGCCGGTGCAGGTTTGAGGGGCTGAATGGCCTTCTCTTGCTCCTATCTCTTAAGACCTAACGTCTGAATGGGAACAAGAGGGAGCAGACGTAGAGTGGAAATGTAGGACTGGATGTAGAATTAGAAGAGATAGCAATGACTGCAGCAACAGAGGGATCTGTGTGGGAATGAAAAAAAATCAAACTCTTTCCAGTAGGAAATGGAGAGGCACTGCAGAATATGTAGGGAGACCAGCATTCCAGGATTCCACTACTCTATTCAAGAATTAATAATTGATCTCTGGGAAAACTCAGGACTCTGAGGCATTAGAAATATACATTGTTTAAGTTGTTCATGGGATGTTGGCACTGCTGTCTGAGAAGGAGCCCAGTGCGTGCTTGGCTGAGATTGAGACAGTTGCTACAAGAACTAGATTAATCAAGAGTTCCATCCACACTGATGAACCATTTTTTATTCAGTCAGAGGATGTTGTATTTCTGGCCAGGCAAGCATTTGTTGCCCATGCTTAATTACTCAGAGGACAGCTAAGAATGGATTTGGAGTCACATATAGCCTGACCAAATAAGGGCAGCAGATTTCCTTTAGGACATTAGTGAACAGGATGGGTTGTCATGATCTCTAACTCATGTAACTCTTAGACTTTTGTTGAGATAGAATTTCACCGTTTACCATGATGGGATTTGAACCCTTGCCTTCAGATTATTAGCTTGGGCATGACCAATTTACTATCTAGTGGCATTACTGCTACACTACTACCTCTCCCTTACACTGGCTGTGATTTGCTGAAGACTTGTCACTCACTTTCAAAATATACTTGCGAGTTAGCTGGGCAGGTCAGGCAATGAAACTTTCAGGAATGTGTCCAGCTGGAGCCTGCAGGGGATCAGAGTTGTTAGTGTGTGATTTTGTGTAGCTGATCAGCCAAAGACGAGTCAGAGACTGTGGAAAGTGAAGTTCAGGAGAGTAGCAAAGATGAGTTTGGGCATAATGATGATGCACCTAACGTTTTTGGTAGGAACTGGAGATGAGGCAGGGTGAGAGATGGACATTGTTGGTCTGAGTGATGGATTGAATGCTGGATTAAAAGCTCGGCACTGGTGAGGATGGCATGGCTCCAAATCATGGAATGGTGTTTGGCTGGGAATCATGAATGGGGGACAGAATCGGGAACTAACTAAGGGGCATAGCTGGAAACGTTGATGAGGATCAAAACCGTCCTTTTTAGGCAATGCTGAGTTGTATGAAATTTCTGCTCATCAACACTGTGAGTATTTTATGTGCCCCTGGGGAATACATGAGGGTGTGAGAGAAATGGGGAATGACCTGTAATTTTTAAAGTAAAGTCTGTCTGCATCAAAGTTGCGGTGGGTTTGCAATCTGTGAATCTTTATGACTAGGTTTATTGCAAATGAATAAATCCCTCAGTGCTCGCATTTACACAGTCATTTAATTTTAGGACTGCAGTGTTTTGCTACCAGCTTGAGGTCATGATGGGGTCAAGTAGCCTGAGTGAATGTGCCATCCAACTGAATATATGAGGGAAGCTTATGCCTCGAGCTCTGTGAGAAGGCCGTTCTTAAAACCCAGCAGTCACTTTTGCAATGGGACCCAAAGAGCTTTGCTACATCCTGCAGCTGTTTTAGGTTCAGTGAGATGGTCACCAGTTCAAAATAAGAGAGATCCTCAATCTCAAGATATTTGGGTCTAGAATACCTGCAACCCCTTGCATTCGTAACATTTAAAATTAAATCTTGAGGTGCTGTAGCAATGGAAGAAGGCAGAGGAGTGGATAGTAAGATATGGGAGCAGTTAAGCAAGTGATTTGGTTGGAACATGAGATTGTGAATGCATCTAAAGGCTGCTATCAGTGCTATTTTTGGCAGTGATTTGTTGGTAGCAATGTCCACTCTCTCAAAAGATGTGGGCTCAAGCCTCACCTCAGAAGCTTGAAAACAAACACTTGACTCACAATCCAGTGTGGCACAGATCAAATACTTTAACTTTGGACGTGACTTTAATGTTTCTCTCTCTATTAGGTATAGAAGATTCTATGACTATCTAAAAAATCAGGAGTTATCCCTGGTGCCTTGTCTAATATTAACCTTTCTGACAACATCACTAAACAGCTCCCATTATCTGGTCATTGTCCCATTGCTGTTTGGGGAATTTTGGTGAAATTAGCTGCCGTATTTCCTGCATTACGGCCAATGCTAATCTCCAGAAGCCCTTCTTCAGCTCGAAGGCACTTGGGGATGATCTGATATTATGAAAGATGGTAAATCAATGCAAGTTTCTTTTATATATTTGTGCAGTTATATACACAACTCTTCTGATCCTGGGGCAATTAGTGGGCACAATAGAACCAAAAGAGTCTTAGAAACAGGCCCTCTTCTCCCTAGGAGCAAGGTCCTTAAGCCTTTTCAACATTCAATGAGGTGTCTTCAGAGAAACTCCTTATCCATAACACCACAAAATGTAGGAGCAGAGAAAGCCATTCAGCCCATCAAGTGTGCTCCCCTATTCAATGAGATCATTGTTGAGATCATCTGATCTGATAATCTTCAAACTCTACTTTCCAGTCTTTCCTCATACCCTTGACTCCCTTACTGATTAAAACTCTATCCCAGCCTTGAGTATACATAATTGGCCCAACTTTGACAACCCTTTGCAGTAAAGACTTTCAGATTCACAACCCTCTGAGAAAAGAAATTATTCCTCATCTCAATCTTCAATGGCCGATGGGAAACAACCTCTCCACTTCTAACCAGGCAGGTCTCTGAAGAACCTTGTATGGTTCAAATGAAATTACATGGAATGTAGAGATAGTAGGAACTGCAGATGCTGGAGAATCTGAGACAACAAGGTGCAGAGCTGGATGAACACAGCAGGCCAAGCAGCATCATAGGAGCAGAAAGGCTGACGTTTCGGGCCTAGACCCTT